CCCCTCATTGTGCCCCCCCCCCTTTGTGCCCCCCCAGTTCTGGGCCCGGTGGAGGCAGCCCCCGAGTACCGGGTCATCGTGGACGCCAACAACCTCACAGTGGAGATCGAGAACGAGCTCAGTGCGTGCTATGGGGCAGCTATGGGGCAGCTATGGGGCGCTATGGGGTGCTATGGGGCAGCTATGGGGCGCTATGGGGTGCTATGGGGAAGCTATGGGGCGCTATGGGGCAGCTATGGGGCACTTATGGGGCGCTATGGGGCAGCTATGGGGTGCTATGGGGCAGCTATGGGGCGCTATGGGGCAGCTATATGGCGCTATGGGGTGCTATGGGGCGCTATGGAGCAGCTATGGGGCGCTATGGGGCAGCTATGGGGCAGCTATGGGGTGCTATGGGGCAGCTATGGGGCACTTATGGGGCAGCTATGGGGTGCTATGGGGCACTATGGGGCAGCGATGGGGTGCTATGGGGCAGCTATGGGGCGCTATGGGGCAGCTATGTGGCGCTATGGGGTGCTATGGGGCAGTTATGGGGCATCTATGGGGCACTATGGGGCAGCTATGGGGCACTATGGGGCAGCTATGGGGCGCTATGGGGCCCTATGGGGTGCTATGGGGCAGCTATGGGGCGCTATGGGGCAGCTATGGGGCGCTATGGGGCAGCTATGGGGCAGCTATGGGGCGCTATGGGGCAGCTATGGGGCGCTATGGGGCGCTGTGGGGCAGCTATGGGGCGCTATGGGGCAGCTATGGGGTGCTGTGGGGCGCTGTGGGGCAGCTATGGGGCGCTATGGGGCAGCTATGGGGCGCTATGGGGTGCTATGGGGCAGCTATGGGGCGCTATGGGGCAGCTATGGGGCGCTATGGGGCAGCTATGGGGCAGCTATGGGGCGCTATGGGGCGCTGTGGGGCAGCTATGGGGCGCTATGGGGCAGCTATGGGGTGCTATGGGGCAGCTATGGGGCAGCTATGGGGCGCTATGGGGCAGCTATGGGGTGCTATGGGGTGCTATGGGGCAGCTATATGGCGCTATGGGTTGCTATGGGGTGCTCTGGGGCAGCTATGGGGCACTATGGGGCAGCTATGGGGCGGGGGGGGCTATGGGGGGGTGATGGGGAAGGGTGTGGAGGGGGAATGGGGGGTGTTTTGGGGGGCAGTGGGGAGGTTTTGGGGGGATTCAGTGGGTGCTATGGGTGTCAATGGGGGCTATGGGTGTCAATGGGGGCTATGGGGTTAATGGGTGCTATGGGTGTCAATGGGGGCTATGGTGTCAGTGGGTGCTATGGTGTCAATGGCGGCTATGGGATCAGTGGGTGCTGTGGGCGTCAATGGGTGCTATGGGTGTCAATGGGGGCTATGGGGTTAATGGGTGCTATGGGTGTCAATGGGGGCTATGGTGTCAATGGCTGCTGTGGGTGTCAATGGCGGCTGTGGGCGTCAATGGGTGCTATGGGTGTCAATGGGTGCTATGGGGTTAATGGGTGCTATGGGTGTCAGTGGGTGCTATGGTGTCAATGGCTGCTGTGGGTGTCAATGGCGGCTATGGGATCAGTGGGTGCTGTGGGTGTCAATGGGTGCTATGGTGTCAATGGAGGCTATGGGATCAATGGCTGCTATGGGTGTCAATGGATGCTGTGGGTATCAATGGGTGCCTATGGGTGGCAATGGATGCTATGGGTGTCCATGGGTGTCCCAGAGTGCCTGTGGGTGTCAATGGCTGCTATGGGTGTCAGTGGATGCTATGGTGTCAACGGATGCTATGGGTGTCCATGGGTGCTTATGGGTATCAATGGGTGCTATGGTGTCAATGGATGCTGTGAGTGTCCATGGGTGCCTATGGGTGTCAATGGATGCTATGGGTGTCACTGGGGGCTATGGGATCAATGGCTGCTATGGTGTCAACGGATGTCCATGGGTGGTAGTGGGTGCCTATGGGTGTCCATGGGTGCCCATGGGTGTCCATGGGTGCCTATGGGTATCAATGGGTGCCATGGGTGTCAATGGGTTCCGATGGGTGTCAATCGGTGCTATGGTATCAGTGGGTGCTATGGTATCAATGGGTGCTATGGGTGTCAATGGCTGCTATGGGTATCAATGGCTGCTATGGGTATCAACGGATGCTATGGGTGTCCATGGGTGCCTATGGGTATCAATGGGTGCTATGGTGTCAATGGATGCTGTGGGTGTCCATGGGTGCCTATGGGTGTCAATGGATGCTATGGTGTCACTGGGGGCTATGGGATCAATGGCTGCTATGGGCATCAGTGGGTGCTGTGGTATCAATGGGTGCTATGGGCGTCAGTGGGTGCTATGGTGTCAATGGGTGCTATGGGTGTCAGTGGGTGCTATGGTGTCAATGGATGCTATGGGTGTCCATGGGTGTCCATGGGTGCCCATGGGTGGTAGTGGGTGTCCATGGGTGCCCATGGGTGGAAGTGGGTGTCCATGGGTGCCTATGGGTGTCCATGGGTGTCAATGGATGCTATGGGTGCCCATGGGTGTCCATGGCTGATATGGGTGCCCATGGGTGCCTATGGGTGCCTATGGGTGCCCATAGGTGCTCTGGATCTCACCCCCCCCTCCCTCCCCAGACATCATCCACAAGTTCATCCGGGACAAGTACTCCAAGCGCTTCCCAGAGCTGGAATCCCTGGTTCCCAACGCCCTGGATTACATCCGCACCGTGAAGGTCCCACTGCGGCCCTATGGGGAGGAGGTTGTGGGTCAGCGCCTGCCCCACACGGCCTCCAATGGGACCCACAACCCCCTTTGGTTCCTTCCAGGAGCTGGGGAACAGCCTGGACAAGTGCAAGAACAACGAGAACGTGCAGCAGATCCTGACCAACGCCACCATCATGGTGGTGAGCGTGACCGCCTCCACCACCCAGGGGTGAGCATTGGGTGCTGGGCACCCATAGGAGGGTGCTGAGCACCCATTGGGGTCATTGGGGTGCATTGGGTTCCATTGGGGTGCATTGGGTTCCATTGGGGTGCAGCAGATCCTGACCAACGCCACCATCATGGTGGTGAGCGTGACCGCCTCCACCACCCAGGGGTGAGCATTGGGTGCTGGGCACCCATAGGAGGGTGCTGAGCACCCATTGGGGTCATTGGGGTGCATTGGGTTCCGTTGGGGTGCATTGGAGTGCATTGGGATGCTGAGTGCCCATTGGGGTGCGTTGGGGTGCTGAGCGCCCATTGGGGTCCATTGGGGTGCTGAGCACCCATTTGCATGCATTGAGATGCTGAGCACCCATTGGGGTCCATTGGATTCCATTGGGGTGCTGAGTGCCCATTGGGGTCCATTGGGGTGCTGAGCATCCATTTGCATGCATTGAGATGCTAAGCACCCATTGGGTTCCATTGGATTCCATTGGGGTGCATTGGGGTGCTGAGTGCCCATTGGGGTGCTGAGCACCCATTTGCATGCATTGAGATGCTGAGCACCCATTGGGGTCCATTGGGTTCCATTGAGCTCTATTAGGGTGCATTGGGGTGCTGAGCACCCATTGGGGTCCATTGGGTTCCGTTGAGCTCTATTAGGGTGCATTGGGGTGCATTAGGGTGCTGAGCACCCATTGGGGTCCATTGGGGTGCTGGGTGCCCTTTGAGTGCCAGGACTCCCCCGGGTCCCTATGCCCGCCCGCAGTCCGTCTCTCCATTGGCTTGCATTGGCATTAAGGACTCCCCCGGGTCCCTGTGCCCGCCCGCAGTCCTCTCCATTGGGTTCCATTGACGTTAAGGAGTCCCCCGGGTCCCTGTGCCCGCCCGCAGTCCTTCTCTCCATTGGGTTCTATTGGCGTTAAGGACTCCCCCGGGTCCCTGTGCCCGCCCGCTAGGCCGGGTGTCCATTGACTTGCATTGGCGTTAAGGACTCCCCCGGGTCCCTGTGCCCGCCCGCTAGGCCGGGTCTCCATTGGCTTCCATTGGCGTTAAGGACTCCCCCGGGTCCCTGTGCCCGCCCGCAGTCCGTCTCTCCATTGGGTTCTATTGGCGTTAAGGAGTCCCCCGGGTCCCTGTGCCCACCTTCAGACCGGGTCTCCATTGGGTTCCATTGGCGTTAAGGACTCCCCCGGGTCCCTGTGCCCGCCCGCAGTCCGTCTCTCCATTGGGTTCCATTGGCGTTAAGGAGTCCCCCGGGTCCCTATGCCCGCCCGCAGTCCGTCTCTCCATTGGCTTCCATTGGCGTTAAGGAGTCCCCCGGGTCCCTGTGCCCGCCCGCAGTCCTTCTCTCCATTGGGTTCTATTGGCGTTAAGGACTCCCCCGGGTCCCTGTGCCCGCCCGCTAGGCCGGGTGTCCATTGACTTGCATTGGCGTTAAGGACTCCCCCGGGTCCCTGTGCCCGCCCGCTAGGCCGGGTCTCCATTGGCTTGCATTGGCGTTAAGGACTCCCCCGGGTCCCTGTGCCCGCCCGCAGTCCTTTTCTCCATTGGGTTCCATTGACGTTAGGGACTCCCCCGGGTCTCTGTGCCCGCCCGCAGTCCGTCTCCCCATTGGGTTCTATTGGCGTTAAGGACTCCCCCGGGTCCCTGTGCCCACCCGCAGTCCGTCTCTCCATTGGGTTCCATTGGCGTTAAGGAGTCCCCCGGGTCCCTATGCCCGCCCGCAGTCCGTCTCCCCATTGGCTTGCATTGGCGTTAAGGAGTCCCCCGGGTCCCTGTGCCCGCCCGCAGGCAGCAGCTCTCGGAGCAGGAACTGGCCTGCATTGAGGAAGCCTGCGACCTGGCGTTGGGGCTGAGCCAGGCCAAGCTCCGCATCTACGAGTACGTGGAGTCGCGGATGTCCTTCATCGCCCCCAACCTCAGCCTCATCGTGGGCGCCTCCACGGCCGCCAAAGTCATGGGTGAGCTGTGGGGCTGGGAGCGGTGGGGCTGGGGGGGGAGGGATGGGGTTTGGGGGGAGGAATGGGGTTTGGGGGGAGCAGTGGGGCTGGGGGGGAGGAATGGGGATGGGGGAAGTAATGGTGCTGGTAGCAATGGGGCTGGGGGGGAGGAATGGGGGTTGGGGGGAGGAATGGGGTTGGGGGGAGGAATGGGGCTGGGGAGAGCAATGGGGCTGAGGGGGGGATCAATGGGGCTGGGCATAGCCAATGGGGCTGGGAGTGGTGGGGCTGGGGGGGAGGAATGGGGTTTGGGGGGAGGAATGGGGTTTGGGGGGAGGAATGGGGCTGGGGGGGAGGAATGAGGCTGGGGGGGAGCAATGGGGTTGGGGGGAGGAATGGGGCTGGGGGGGAGGAATGGGGTTGGGGGGAGGAATGGGGCTGGGGGGGAGGAATGGGGTTTGGGGGGGGGATCAATGGGGCTGGGCATAGCCAATGGGGCTGGGAGTGGTGGGGCTGGGGGGGAGGAGTGGGGCTGGGGGAAGCAATGGGGCTGGTAGCGATGGGGCTGGGGGGGGAGAAATGGGTTTTGGGGGGAGGAATGGGGCTGGGGGGGAGGAATGGGGTTTGAGGGGAGCAATGGGGCTGGGGGGAGCAATGGGGGTTGGGGGAGGAATGACCCTGGGGGGGAGGAATGGGGTTGGGGGGAGGAATGGATTTGGGGGGAGGAATGGGGTTGTGGGGAGCAATGGGGCTCGGGGTGGAGCAGTGGGGCTGGGGGGGAGCAGTGGGGCTGGGAGGGAGCAATGGGGCTGGGAGCAGTGGGGCTGGGGGGGAGCAGTGGGGATGGGGGAGAGCAATGGGGCTGGGCATGGCCAATGGGGCTGGGAGCGGTGGGCCTGGGTGGGAGGAATGGGGCTGGGGGTGATCAATGGGGCTGGGGGCAATGGGGCTGGGTGGTATCAGTGGGGCTGGGGCTTTTGCTATGGGGTTAGGGTCTGTCTCCCTATGTGTCCCTGTGGGTCTCCCTATGGCTCTCTATGGCTCCCTATGGTCTCTCTATGGGTCTCTATGGGTCTCTATGGGTCTCTATAGGTCCCTATGGCTCTCTAGGGGTCCCTATGGGTCTCTATGGGTCTCTCTGAGTCCCTATGGGTCTCTATGGGTCTCTATGTCTCCCTATGTGTCTCTATGTGTCTCTATGTGTCTCTATGTGTCTCTATGGGTCTCTATGGGTCTCTATGTGTCTCTATGGGTCTCTATGTCTCTCTATGGCTCTCTATGGGTCCCAATGGTCTCTCTATGGGTCCCAATGGTTCTGTGTGGGTCACGCAGGGGTTGCCGGGGGTCTGACTCCTCTATGTGTCTCTCTGTGTCCCTATGGGTCCCTATGGGTCTCTATGTGTCTCTATGGGTCCCAGTGTGTCTCTATGGGTCCCAATGTGTCCCTATGGGTCGCGCAGGTGTTGCTGGGGGCCTGACTCCTCTATGTGTTTCTATGGGTCTCTATGTGTCCCTATGGCTCCCTATGGCTCCCTTTGGGTCCCAATGGTCTCTCTATGGGTCTCTATGTGTCTCTATGTGTCTCTATGTGTCTCTATGTGTCTCTATGTGTCTCTATGGGTCTCTATGTGTCTCTATGTGTCTCTGTGTGTCTCTATGGGTGTCTATGGGTCTCTATGGGTCCCTATGGGTCTCTATGTGTCTCTATGGGTCTCTATGTGTCTCTATGTGTCTCTATGTGTCTCTATGGGTCTCTATGGGTCTCTATGGGTCCCAATGTCTCTCTATGGGTCTCTATGGGTCCCTATGGGTCTCTATGTGTCCCAATGTCTCTCTATGGGTCCCAATGTCTCTCTATGGGTCTCTATGGGTCCCTATGGGTCGCGCAGGTGTTGCCGGGGGCCTGACTCCCCTCTCCAAGCTCCCCGCCTGCAACGTTCTGCTCCTGGGGGCCCAGCGCCGCTCCCTCTCCGGCTTCTCCAGCACCGCGGCCCTGCCCCACACCGGCTTCGTCTTCCACAGCGACATCGTCCAATCGCTGCCCCCGGTGAGCCCAAGGGGGCGGGGCTATGGGGATAGGGGCCAATCGCTGCCCCCGGTGAGGGAAAGGGGTGGGGTTATGGGGTGGGGTATGGGGACAGCGTCCAATCGCTGCCCCCCGTGAGGCAAAGGGGGCGGGGTTATGGGGATAGGGGCCAATGGGTGCTGGTGGTGAGGGAAAGGGGGCGGGGCTATGGGGATAGGGGCCAATGGGTGCTGGCGGTGAGGGAAAAGGGGCGGGGCTATGGGGCTATGGGGCGGAGCTGTGGGGTGGGGCTATGGGGATAGGGGCCAATCGCTGCTCCTGGTGAGGGAAAAGGGGCGGGGCTATGGGGATAGAGGCCAATCAGTGCTGGCGGTGAGGGAAAAGGGGCGGGGCTATGGGGATAGGGGCCAATGGGTGCTGGTGGTGAGGGAAAAGGGGGCGGGGTTATGGGGATAGGGGCCAATCGCTGCCCCCGGTGAGCCAAAGGGGGCGGGGTTATGGGGTGGGGTATGGGGACGTCGTCCAATCGCTGCCCCCCGTGAGGCAAAGGGGGCGGGGTTATGGGGATAGGGGCCAATGGGTGCTGGTGGTGAGGGAAAAGGGGCGGGGCTATGGGGCTATGGGGCGGAGCTGTGGGGCGGGGTTATGGGGATAGGGGCCAATGGGTGCTGGCGGTGAGGAAAAAGGGGGCGGGGCTATGGGGTGGGGTATGGGGACATCGTCCAATCGGCGCCGACGGTGAGGGAAAGGGGGCTGGGCTATGGGGATAGCGGCCAATCGCTGCCCCCGGTGAGGGACAGGGGGTGGGGCTATGGGGATAGGGGCCAATCGGTGCTGGTGGTGAGGGAAAGGGGGTGGGGCTATGGGGCGGGGCTATGGGGTGGGGCTATAGTGACATAGTCCAGTCCCTGCCCCCGGTGAGCGTGAGGGGGCGGGGCTATGGGGCTATGGGGCGGGGCTATGGGGCTGGGCTATGCTTGTGGGGTGGAGCTATGGGGCAGGGCTATGGCTATGGGGAAGGGCTTGGGGTGTGGGGCAACCCCATAGCAACATCGTGCAGTCTCTGCCCCCAGTGAATGCTATGGGGCGGGCTATAGGGCAGGGCTATGGTTATGGTGCGGGATGTGGGGCAGGGCTGTGGGGCAGGGCTATGGCTGTGGGGCAGCCCTATAGTGACGTTTTTCAGTCCCTGCCCCCAGTGAATGCTATGGGGTGGGCTGTAGGGCTGGGCTATGGTTATGGGGTGGGATGTGGGGCAGGGCTGTGGGGCAGGGCTATGGCTGTGGGGCAGCCCTATAGTGACGTTTTTCAGTCCCTGCCCCCAGTGAATGCTATGGGGTGGGCTGTAGGGCTGGGCTATGGTTATGGGGTGGGATGTGGGGCAGCGCTATGGGGCAGAGGAATGGCTATGGGGTGAGGCTTGGGGTGTGGGGCACGGTTTAAGGTGGGTGGGGGGGCAGCCCCATAGCGCCATCATATACACCCTGCCCCCTGTCAGTGTGCGCTATGGGGCAGGATTTGGGGGTAGAGCTCGGGGTGTGGGGCAGAGTCTACGCTATGGGGCAGACCCATTGCTATGGGGCAGGGTTTGAGGTGTGGGGCAGCACCGTTCAGTCCCTGCCCCCTGTGTGTGTGGCGCTGGGCTTTGCCCTCCCCCCCCCCCTTTTGCTATGGGGCTATGGGGCAGGCGCTGCTATGGGGCAGGCGCTGCTATGGGGCTGCCCCACATGTTCTGCCCCACAGGACCTGCGCAGGAAGGCGGCTCGGCTCGTGGCGGCCAAGTGCACGCTGGCAGCAAGGGTGGACAGCTTCCATGAGAGCCCCGACGGCAAGGTGGGGGGCCGGCAGCCCCATAGGGCAGCCCCATAGAGTGTCCCCATAGAGCGTCCCCATAGAGCGGCCCCATAGAGCATCCCCATAGAGCAGCCCCATAGAGCAGCCCTATGGAGATCCCCATAGAGCAGCCCCATAGAGCAGCCCCATAGAGCGTCCCCATAGAGCAGCCCCATAGAGCATCCCCATAGGGCAGCCCCATAGGGCAGCCCCATAGAGTGTCCCCATAGAGCAGCCCCATAGAGCATCCCCATAGAGCGTCCCCATAGGGCAGCCCCATAGAGTGTCCCCATAGAGCAGCCCCATAGAGTGTCCCCATAGGGCAGCCCCATAGGGCAGCCCCATAGAGTGTCCCCATAGAGCAGCCCCATAGAGCGTCCCCATAGGGCAGCCCCATAGAGCGTCCCCATAGAGCAGCCCCATAGGGCAGCCCCATAGAGCAGCCACATAGAGCGGCCCCATAGAGCATCCTCATAGAGCATCCCCATAGAGCGTCCCCATAGGGCAGCCCCATAGAGCAGCCCCATAGAGCAGCCCCATAGAGCGTCCCCCTAGGGCAGCCCCATAGAGCAGCCCCATAGAGCAGCCCCATAGAGCATCCCTATGGAGTTCCCCATAGAGCGTCCTCATAGAGCGTCCCCATAGAGCAGCCCCGTAGAGCGTCCCCATACAGCAGCCCCATAGAGCAGCCCCATAGATCAGCCCCATAGAGTGTCCCCATAGAGTGTCCCCATAGAGCATCCCCATAGGGCAGCCCCATAGAGCAGCCACGTAGAGCAGCCACGTAGAGCAGCCCCATAGGGTGTCCCCATAGAGCAGCCCCATAGAGCATCCCCATAGAGCAGCCCCATAGAGCGGCCCCATAGAGGGGCCCCATAGAGCGTCCCCATGGAGATCCTAATCCCAATTCCCCCGTTCCCCCCCCATCCCCACCCCATTCCCCCATCCCCCATCCCCATCCCCCCCCCTCCATCCCCCCTATTCCCCCCCACCCCCCCATCCCCCCCATTCTCACCCCACCCCCACCCCATCTCCCCCCATCCCATCCCCCCATTCCCATGCAACGCCTCCATCCCCCCCCATTTCCCCCCATTCCCACCCCCATCCCCCCCATCCCATCCCCTCCATTCCCATGCAATGCCCCCATCCCCCCCCATCTCCCCCCATCCCCCCGCATTCCCCCCCAATCCTCCACCACCCCCCCACCTCATCCCCCATCCCATCCCCCTCGTCCCCACTCCACCCCATCCCCCTGCCATCCCCCCATCCCCACCCCCCATCCCCCCCATTCCCACCCCCACCCCATCTTCCTCCATCCCCCCCATCCCCATTCCCACCCCACCCCCACCCCCACCCCATTCCCCCCATCCCATCCCCCCCATCCCCCCACCTCATCCCCCCCATCCCATCCCGCCCATTCCCATGCAATCCCCCATCCCCCCACCTCATCCCCCCCATCCCCCATCCCATCCCCCCCCCATCCCCCCATCCCCACCCCCTATCCCCCCACGTCATCTCCCCCATCCCATCCCCCCCATTCCCATGCAATGCCCCCATCCCCCCGCATTCCCACCCATCCCCCCCCCCATCCCCCCCCTCCCCTCCCCCCCACCCCCCATCCCCATCCCCCCCCATTCCCCCCATCTCCACCCCCCCACCCCACCCCCACCCCATCCCCCCATCCCATTCCCCCCAATCCCCCTCCCCCCATTCCCCCCCATCCCATCCCCTCCATTCCCATGCAATGCCCTCATCCCCCCCCCCCCCCACCCCATCCCCCCCACCCCCACCCCCCCCCATCCCCCCTCCCCTCCCCCCAGGTGGGTTACGAGCTCAAGGAGGAGATGGAGCGCAAGTTCGACAAGTGGCAGGAGCCGCCCCCGGTCAAGCAGGTGAAGCCGCTGCCGGCCCCGCTCGACGGCCAGAGGAAGAAGAGGGGCGGGCGCAGGTGGGGGGCGGCCCCATGGCCGCTATGGGGCAGCCCTATGGGGTCTATGGGGGTCTATGGGGTCTATGGGGGTCTATCGGGGTGGGTCTATGGGGGTCTATGGGGGTCTATGGGGGTCTATGGGGCACTTGGAGGGGGGCTATGGGGGTCTATGGGGGTCTATGGGGGCTATGGGGGTCTATGGGGGTCTATGGGGTCTATGGGGTCTATGGGGGTCTGTGGGGCAGCCCCATGGCGGGCTATGGGGGTCTATGGGGGTCTATGGGGGCTATGGGGGTCTATGGGGTCTATGGGGGTCTATGGGGGTCTATGGGGGTCTATGGGGCGCTATGGGGCTCTGTGGGGGTCTATGGGGGTCTATGGGGCGGCCCCATGGCGGGCTATGGGGGTCTATGGGGCAGCCCCATGGCGGCTATGGGGGTCTATGGGGTCTATGGGGGGTATATGGGGTCTATGGGGGTCTATGGGGGGTATATAGGGTCTATGGGGGTCTGGGGGGCAGCCCCATGGCGGGCTATGGGGGTCTATGGGGTCTATGGGGGTCTATGGGGGTCTATGGGGCGGCCCCATGGCGGGCTATGGGGGTCTATGGGGTCTATGGGGGTCTATGGGGCAGCCCTATGGCGGGCTATGGGGGTCAATGGAGCAGCCCCATGGCGGGCTATGGGGGTCTATGGGGTCTATGGGGGTCTATGGGGCAGCCCTATGGGGTGGGTCTATGGGGGGCTATGGCGGGCTATGGGGGGGTCTATGGGGTGGCCCCATGGCGGGCTATGGGGGTCTATGGAGCAGCCCCATGGCGGGCTATGGGGGTCTATGGGGCGGCCCTATGGGGTCTATGGGGGGGTATATGGGGCCTATGGGGAGGGTCTATGGGGTCTATGGAGCAGCCCTGTGGGGTCTATGGGGGTCTGGGGGCAGCCCCATGGCGGGCTATGGGGTGGGTCTATGGGGGTCTATGGGGGTCTGGGGGGCAGCCCCATGGCGGCCTATGGGGGTCTATGGGGCGGCCCCATGGCGGGCTATGGGGGGGTCTATGGGGTGGGTCTATGGGGGTCTATGGGGCAGCCCCATGGCGGGCTATGGGGATCTATGGGGGTCTATGGGGCAGCCCCATGGCGGCCTATGGGGGTCTATGGGGGTCTATGGGGCAGCCCTATGGCGGCCTATGGGGGTCTGTGGGGGTCTATGGGGCAGCCCCATGGCGGGCTATGGGGGGGTCTATGGGGGTCTATAGGGTGGGTCTATGGGGGTCTATGGGGCAGCCCTATAGGGTCTATGGGGGGGCCTGTGGGGGTCTATGGGGTGGGTCTATGGGGGTCTATGGGGCAGCCCCATGGCGGGCTATGGGGGTCTATGGGGGTCTATGGGGCGGGTCTATGGCCGCCTATGAGGGGGTCTGTGGGGTCTATGGGGGTCTGGGGGGCAGCCCCATGGCGACCTATGGGGGTCTATGGGCCCCATTGATCCCTATAGGCCCCATTGCTCCCTATGGGTCCCATTGTTCCCTATGGGGCCCATTGCTCCCTATGGGTCCCATTGCTCCCTATGGGCCCCATTGATCCCTATGGGTCCCATTGATCCCTATGGGCCCCATTGATCCCTATGGGCCCCATTGACCCCTATGGGCCCCATCGTTCCCTATGGGTCCCATTGATCCCTATGGGTCCCATCGATTCCTATGGGCCCCATTGATCCCTATGGGCCCCATTGAGCGCTATGGGGCGCATTCACCCCTATGGGCCCCATTGATCCCTATGGGCCCCATTGAGCGCTATGGGGCGCATTGACCCCTATGGGGCCCATTGATCCCTATGGCCGTGTGGGGCAGGTACCGGAAGATGAAGGAGCGTCTGGGGCTGACGGAGATCCGGAAGCAGGCCAATAGGATGAGCTTTGGGGAGGTGAGCGCTATTAATGAGCTATTAATGGGCTATTAATGAGCTATTAATGGGCTATTAATGAGCTATTAATGGGCTATTGAGGTATTAATGAGTTACAGTGAACTATAAATGGGATTATAATGAGGCGGTTGTAAGTTCCTGAGTAATTAGTGAGCTATTAACGAGTTATTAACGAGCTATTAATGTGCTATTAGTGAGCTATTAGTGAGCTATTAATGAGCTATTGAGGTATTAATGAGTTACAGTGAACTATAAATGGGATAATAATGAGGCATTTGTGAGTTCCTGAGTAATTAGTGAGCTATTAACGAGTAATTAACGAGTTATTAATGAAATATTAATGAGCTGTTGAGGTATTAATGAGTTACAGTGAACTATAAATGGGATAATAATGAGGCATTTGTGAGTTCCTGAGTAATTAGTGAGCTATTAACGAGTTATTAACGAGTTATTAATGAGTTATTAATGAAATATTAATGAGCTATTGAGGTATTAATGAGTTACAGTGAACTATAAATGGGATAATAATGAGGCATTTGTGAGTTCCTGAGTAATTAGTGAGCTATTAATGAGTAATTAGTGAGCTATTAACGAGCTTTTAATGAGTTATTAGTGAGCTATTTGTGAGCCGCTATAGTGAGCTATTGATGGGATGATAATGAGGTATTAATGAGGTACTGAATTATTAGCCGTGAACTATTAGTTATTAATGGGCCATTAATGAGCTACTTACGAGCTATTGAGTTATTAGTGAGCTGTTAATGTCTATTAATGAACTATTAGTGGCTATTACTGAACTATTTGTGAGCTGCAGAGCTATTAATGAGGCCTTAATGGCTATTAATGAGCTATTAATGTTTATTAGTGGGCTATTTATGAGCTGTTATTAGTGAGCTATTAGAGAGTTAGTAATGAGCTGTTTGTGAGCTATTAATGGCTATTGCGTTATTAATGAACAGTTAATGAGCTGTTAGTAGCTATTAATGAGTTATTAATGGGTTATTAGAGAACTATTAATGAACTAATAATGAGCTGTGGAGTAATTAATGGCTCTTACAGAGCTATGGAGGTATTAGTGGCTATTAATGAGTTATTAGGCTGTAATTAATGGTCTGGTAATAGGCTTTTAATGGCCTATTAAAGGCTATTTAAGGGGTTATTAATAAGCTATTAATTGCCATTAATGAGCTATTAATGACGTATGGGAGGGTCATTGGGGAGTTATTAATGAGCTATGAATTTCCATTAACTCTATTAGAGGGTCATTAGGGGGTTATTAAGGAGCTATTAATTTGCATTAATGAGTTGTTGTGATCTATTAGGGTGTTATTAATGCTCTATTAGAGGTCATTAAGGGGTTACTAACAAGCTATTTGTGGCTATTAATGGATTATCAGGGGGTCATTAATAAGCTATTCCTAGTAATGCTCCATTGGAGGGTCACTGGGGTTATTAACGAGCTATTAATGTGATATTATCTATTAGAGGGTTATTAATGAGCTATTAATTGCTCTTAGCCCTCTGTTAAAGGGTCATTAAGGGTCTCTTAACGAGCTATTAATTGCCATCAACGAGGTATTAGCGCTCTATTAGAGAATCATTAGTGGGTGATTAAGGCGCTATTGATTGCCATTAATGGGTTATTAGTATTAATTATTACTAAAATAATTACTAATAGCTGTTAGTTAATTGTAATTAATTTATCATGATTCTATAATTAAGCTATCATGAATTAATTTATTAAGCAATAATTAATATTCATTAATGTATAATGTATATATAATGTATAATTATTAATGATTAGGGTTATTAAGGAGCTATTAATTGCCATTGATGGGTTATTAGTATGAATTATTACTAAAATAATTACTAATAGCTGTTAGTTGTAATTAATTTATCATGATTCTATAGTAAGTCTATCATTTATTAAGCAATAATTAATATTCATTCATGTATAATGTATGTATAATTATTAATGAGTAGGGTTATTAAGGAGCTATTAATTGCCATTAATGGGTTATTAGTATGAATTATTACTAAAATAATTACTAATAGCTGCTAGTTGTAGTTAATTTATCATGATTCTATAATAAATCTATCATTTATTAAGCAATAATTAATATTCATTCATGTATAATGTATATATAATTATTAATGATTAGGGTTATTAAGGCGCTATTAATTGCCATTAATGGGTTATTAGTATGAATTATTACTAAAATAATTACTAATAGCTGCTAGTTGTAATTAATTTATCATGATTCTATAATAAATCTATCATTTATTAAGCAATAATTAATATTCATTCATGTATAATGTATATATAATTATTAATGATTAGGGTTATTAATGAGCTATTAATTGCCATTAATGATCCATTGGGGGGTTATTAACGAGCGGTGGATTATTAATAAGCTGTTAGAAGGTCTTCAAGCCCTTAATGTACAATTGGTTTCTGTTAGTTCTTATCTGAGGAGTGGCTGATATTAATTAATTAATTAATTAATCATTAATGAGCCTCGTTAATCGCAGATCGAGGAGGACGCGTACCAGGAGGACCTGGGCTTCAGCCTGGGTCACCTGGGCAAGGCCGGGAGCGGGCGCGTGCGGCAGACCCAGGTCAACGAGGCCACCAAGGCGCGCATCTCCAAGACCCTGCAGGTGGGAGCATTAATTAATTAATAACGCTAATTAACGCCTCATTAACCGCTAGTTAGGAACGAGGAGGGACACCTAAGGAGCACCGAGGGGCATTGGTAACGCTCTTTAACGCCTAGGAAGCAAAGAACAGCACCTAATTGAGGGTAATTAACGGCTAATAACGACTAATTAACGCCTAATTAACATCTCATTAACGCTAATAAACACTAATTAACGGCGATTCAAAAGTAAAGAAGAGCAAGTGGCATTAGTAACGCAATTTAACACCTCGGAAGCAAAAATAATACCCAGTTGAGGTTAATTAAGGGCTAATTAATGGCTAATTAACGGCTAATTAACGAGTAGTGACACCTAAGGAACAGCGAGTGGCATTAGTAACGCTATTTAACGCCTAGGAAGCAAAAAACAGCACCCTATTGAGGGTAATTAACGGCTAATAACGACTAATTAATGGCTAATTAACATCTGATTAACGCTAATAAACACTAATTAAGGGCTAATTAATAATCATTCAAAAGTAAATAAGAGCAAGTGGCATTAGTAACGCAATTTAACACCTCGGAAGCAAAAATAGTACCCAGTTGAGGGTAATTAACGGCTAATTAACGACTAATTAACGACTAATTAACAGCTAATTAGCACGAAACTGTCGACCGTTGGCATTAGAAACGCTATTTAACACCTAGGAAGCAAAAAGCAACACCCAGCTGAGGTTAATTAATGGCTAATTAACGACTAATTAACGGTTATTTAACGTGTGATTAACGCTAATAAACAGTAATTAACGGCTAATTAACGATAATTCAAAACTAAATGACAGCAATTGGCATTAATAACGCAATTTAACACCTAGGAAGCAAAAATAGTACCCATTTGAGGGTAATTAACGGGTAATTAACAGCTAATTAACGACTAATTAATGGATAATTAGCGACTAATTAACGGCTAATTAACGAGTAGTGACACCTAAGGAACAGCGAGTGGAGTTGGTAATGCTATTTAACGACTAGGAAGCAAAAATTAACGGCTAATTAACGGCTAATTAATGACTAATTAACAGCTAATTAGCACGAAACTGTCGACAATTGGCATTAGAAACGATATTTAACACCTAGGAAGCAAAAAACATCACCCAGTTGAGGTTAATTAATGGCTAATAACGACTAATTAACTGCTAATTAACATCTGATTAATGCTAAAAAACACTAATTAACGGCTAATTAATAATGATTCAAAAGTAAAGAAGAGCAAGTGGCATTAGTAACGCAATTTAACACCTCGGAAGCAAAAATAGTACCCAGTTGAGGGTAATTAACGGCTAATTAACGACTGATTAACGGCTGATTAACTCTAATAAACGGCTAATTAACAATAATTCAAAACTAAATAAGAGCAATTGGCATTAGTAACGCAATTTAACACCTAGGAAGCAAAAATAGTACCCAGTTGTGATTAATTAACGACTAATTAACGGCTAATTAAAGAGTAGTGACACCTAAGTAACAGCAAGTGGCATTTAACGCCTAGGAAGCAAAAAATCGCACCCAGTTGAGGGTAATTAACAGCTAATTAACAACTAATTACCCCTCATTAGCGCTATTTGACCCCTAGTTACCCCTCATTAGCCCTATTTGACCCCTAATTTCCCCCCTTTGATCCCTAATTACCCTTCATTAGGCCCTATTTGAACCCTAATTACCCCTCATTACCCCTATTTGACCCCTCATTAGCCCTCATTAGAACTATTTGACCCCTCATTAGCCCTATTTGACCTCTCATTAGACCTATTTAACCCCTCATTACCCCTCATTAGCCCTATTTGACCCCTAATTACTCCTCGTTAGCCCCATTTTATCCCTAATTGCCCCTCATTAGCCCCCTAATTACCCCTATTTGACCCCTAATTACCCCATTTGACCCCTAATTTCCCCTAATCAGCCCTAATTACCCCTCATTACCCCTATTTGACCCCTCATTAGCCCCCTGATTACCCCTCATTAGCCCTATTTAACCCCTTATTACCCCTCATTACCCCTAATTACCCCTCATTAGCCCTGTATAACCCCTAATTAGCCACCTAATTAACCCCCTAATTACCCCTAATTACCCCCATTACCCCTCATTAGCCCTATTTGACCCCTAATTACCCCTCATTACCCCTAATCACCCCTCATTAGCCCTGTTTAACCCCTAATTACCCTCATTAGCCCCCTAATTACCCCCCTAATTACCCCCATTACCCCTCCTTAGCCCTATTTGTCCCCTAATTACCCCTCATTACCCCTAATCACCCCTCATTAGTCCTGTTTAACCCCTAATTACCCCTCATTAGCCCCTAATTACCCCTATTTGACCCCTAATTACCCCGCATTAGCCCCCTAATTACCCCTATTTGACGCCTAATTACCCCTCATTAGCCCAGTTTAACCCCTAATTACCCCTCATTAGCCCCCTAATTACCCCTATTTGACCCCTAATTACCCCTCATTGGCCCTGTTTAACCCCTAATTACCCTCATTAGCCCCCTAATTACCCCCCTAATTACCCCTCATTAGCCCCCTAATTACCCCTATTTGACCCCTAATTACCCCTAATTACCCCTATTTGACCCCTAATTATCCCTCATTACCCCTATTTGACCCCTAATTACCCCTATTTGACCCCTCATTAGCCCTATTTGACCCCTAATTACCCCTCATTAGCCCCCAGATTACCCCTCATTACCCCTATTTGACCCCTCATTAGCCCTATTTGACCCCTAATTACCCCTCATTACCCCGATTAACCCCTATTTGACCCCAAATTACCCCTCATTAGCCCTATTTGACCCCTAATTACCCATCATTACCCCTATTTGTCCCCTTATTAGCCCAATTTGACCCCTAATTACCCCTCGTTACCCCTATTTGACCCCTAATTACCCCTAATTACCCCTATTTGACCCCTAATTACCCCTAATTACCTCTATTTGACTCCTAATTACCCCTATTTGACCCCTAATTATCCCTCATTACCCCCTAATTACCCCCCTAATTACCCCTATTACCCCTATTTGACCCCTAATTACCCCTATTTGACCCCTAATCACCCCTAATTACCCCTAATTACCCCTCATTACCCCTAATTACCCCTAATGACCCCCTTTCCCCCCCCCCCAGCGCACGCTGCAGCGCCAGAGCCTGGTCTATGGGGGCAAATCGACCATCAGGGACCGGGCGTCGGGCACGGCCTCCAGCGTGGCCTTCACCCCACTGCAGGTGTGGGGCGCCCCATGGGGTCTGGGGGGGTAAGGGGGGGTTATGGGGGGGATATAGGGGGGTTATAGGGGGGTTATAGGGGGGATATGGGGGGGTTATGGGCGGTTATGGGGGGGGTATGGGGGGCTATATGGGGTTAAAGTGGGTTATGGGGGGGTTTTGGGGGGTTTTGGGGGGTTATAGGGGTGTTTTGGGGGGTTATGGGGGGTTATAGGGGGGTTATGGGGGGGTTATGGGGGGTTATAGGGGGGTTATGGGGGGTTATGGGGGGGTTATGGGGGGTTATAGGGGGGTTATGGGGGGGTATGGGGGGGTTATGGGGGGTTATGGGGGGGTTATGGGGGGGTTATATGGGGGGTTATGGGGGGTTATAGGGGGGTTATGGGGGGTTATGGGGGGGTTATGGGGGGGTTATGGGGGGTTATAGGGGGTTATGGGGGGTTATGGGGGGTTATAGGGGGGTTATGGGGGGTTATAGGGGGGTTATGGGGGGGTTATGGGGGGTTATAGGGGGGTTATGGG